GCTTTGTAGTGCTGGGACAGAATGCAATAACAAATTCAATCCTCTGACCAGGGGTTTATGTATCACAGCTAAGAATGACCCTAACTACATTGAAGATTGATGTGGGTGTTGATTAAGATTACAAATAAAAACTGTTTGGAATGTACTCTTTGCTAAGCCCCAAACATCCTTGATTTGTTTTCAATAATGGGAGTAAGATATCACACAGAAGTAAATAAAATCAGCTCATGACCATTTTGTAAACTGAAAAAAGAACAAGTTGTCACTCACCAGCAGATTGTATCGGCTACACTTAGCTTCTCAAGGCACGCCAATACGATAAGTTTGTTGTAAACTGCGTTACCTGCTGACTTTTTCATGTTTCCAACATCATTTTATAAATACAATTACCCTGTGAAACTGTGCATTCACATGGTGGTTACATAGGTATGATGCCTAAAGACTAATGCCAATGCTAGATGTGTAAAAGTCAGTAATCATTTCCAGTTAAGATGAGGACTATCCAATGAGTTTGGCAGAGTAAGGCTACTTCTGGAAATGAGTAAGGTTGTGGTTGCAATTATTAAACTTCCTTCAAACAAAATAAATGTCAGGGGAAACTTCAAAGTCTGATAAACCTTAGCAACATCTTGGACACACGTTGTTCCAAACAAATATTATACGAACTCTAGGCCCTATAAAGGGAAGAAAGCTAATTCTTAACCAAGTAAGTTTGGTGCTTTTTAAACAAAGAATCTATGTTCCCCAGACAACTTGGAGAGGTTACTCTTAAGCCATGAGAATGTTGGCATTGACTTGGTATACATGTATTGGTTCTTGTGAAATCTTGTGTGTTGACCTTTGCAGATACTGTATCTGTGGTTTTATTTGCCAAGATTGTCAAATATCAGCTGTAGGCCGATGCTTTTTCTGTCACAACAATACAATGGTAGTGATTAGAATTATGTTTGATTTCTCCTTTTGAAAAACTCAACAGTGAAATGGCTTTTCTATAAATGTGTCAACTATTTTCTTACCTTACGTTGTTAGTGTTCTTGAGCAGTGTTTTGTAGCTGAACCTCTGACCTCCTGTGGGGAGGGGGATGGGGAACGATGCATTTCCCCCTCATGGATCAATAGCGCATTAAAGCACCGCTCTTTAATGATAGTGAACCTGCCGCCTCGGAACAATGAATGGCTGTAAGTAGTAAAGACAATTTCTATTAGACCAAAGGGGACTTTTAATCATGACACACATCTCAAGCACAAGCCAAACGCAACCAACAATGCTGCCCAGCATTACTAAACCACCACAAACCAAGCAGCCCCCACAGAATGATTAAAGATGATTTAATAATTCATAGTTGTTGTAAGCGCTGTTAGTGGACGGTGCGCTGTGCCGTTCTCCTTCACAGCTGCATGGGGCCTGCCAGTGACAGATGGCTCAGCCCGTGTGGAGAGTTTGGTGCCAGTATAGCCCAGTGGAGTGTTAGACATTTATGTTGTGTGTCTCTGTCTCCATCATTTCAGTATGTGAGCAGAAAATTAATCTTTAAAGGTCACCTACAGTATTATGCAAAATCCACTTTTCCATGTCATCTATACATACATACAGTGGGGCAAAAAAGTATTTAGTCAGCCACCAATTGTGCAAGTTCTCCCACTTAAAAAGATGAGAGAGACCTGTAATTTTCATCCAAGGTATACCTAAACTATGAGAGACAAAATGAGAAAAAAAAATCCAGAAAATCGTCTTGTCTGATTTTTAAAGAATTTATTTGCAAATTGTGGTGGAAAATAAGTATTTGGTCAATAACAAAAGTTCATCTCAATACTTTGTTATATACCCTTTGTTGGCAATGACAGAGGTCAAACGTTTTCTGTAAGTCTTCACAAGGTTTTCACACACTGTTGCTGGTATTTTGGCCCATTCCTCCATGCAGATCTCCTCTAGAGCAGTGATGTTTTGGGGCTGTCGCTGGGCAACACGGACTTTCAACTCCCTCCAAAGATTTTCTATGGGGTTGAGATCTGGAGACTGGCTAGGCCACTCCAGGACCTTGAAATGCTTCTTACGAAGCCACTCCTTTGTTGCCCGGGCGGTGTGTTTGGGATCATTGTCATGCTGAAAGACCCAGCCACGTTTCATCGTCAATGCCCTTGCTGATGGAAGGAGGTTGTCACTCAAAATCTCACGATACATGGCCCCATTCATTCTTTCCTTTACACGGATCAGTCGTCCTGGTCCCTTTGCAGAAAAACAGCCCCGAAGCATGATGTTTCCACCCCCATGTTTCACAGTAGGTATGGTGTTCTTTGGATGCAACTCAGCATTCTTTCTCCTCCAAACCCGTCTAGTTGAGTTTTTACCAAAAAGTTCTATTTTGGTTTCATCTGACCATATGACATTCTCCCAATCCTCTTCTGGATCATCTAAATGCTCTCTAGCAAACTTCAGACGGGCCTGGACATGTACTGGCTTAAGCAGGGGGACACGTCTGGCACTGCAGGATTTGAGTCCCTGGCGGCGTAGTGTGTTACTGATGGTAGCCTTTGTTACTTTGATCCCAGCTCTATGCAGGTCATTGACTAGGTCCCCCTGTGTGGTTCTGGGATTTTTGCTCACCGTTCTTGTGATCATTTTGACCCCACGGGGTGAGATCTTGCGTGGAGCCCCAGATCGAGGGAGATTATCAGTGGTCTTGTATGTCTTCCATTTTCTAATAATTGTTCCCACAGTTGATTTCTTCACACCAAGCTGCTTACCTATTGCAGATTCAGTCTTCCCAGCCTGGTGCAGGTCTACAATTTTGTTTCTGGTGTCCTTTGACAGCTCTTTGGTCTTGGCCATAGTGGAGTTTGGAGTGTGACTGTTTGAGGTTGTGGACAGGTGTCTTTTATACTGATAACGAGTTCAAACAGGTGCCATTAATACAGTTAACTAGTGGAGGACAGAGGAGGCTCTTAAAGAAGAAGTTACAGGTCTGTGAGAGCCAGAAATCTTGTTTGTTTGTAGGTGACCAAATACTTATTTTCCACCATAATTTGCAAATAAATTCTTTAAAAATCAGACAATGTGATTTTCTGGATTTGTTTTTCTCATTTTGTCTCTCATAGTTGAGGTATACTGTACCTAGGATGAAAATTACAGGCCTCTCTCATCTTTTTAAGTGGGAGAACTTGCACACTTGGTGGTTGACTAAATACTTTTTTGCCCCACTGTATGTGTCCCCTCTGTGTAAAGGGACTCTGAACGTTTCAGGAAAAAATATTCCTTCTCTTGTCTGAAAATTAGCTGATCAGATTGTGGCCACTTTGTGATGTCACAATGTTTGTTTTGGGTTGTGTAACCATTAGTCAATAACCAGCAAAGGTAACACTCGCCCACCTTATCACCTGAATCTCCTCCTAGAGCACCATTTTGTTTTTTAAACCAATCATCTCGCAGAGGGGTGTGAGGAGATGTAGTTTATTAGCATACAGAGCTACAGACACAGGCCGTTTCTCAATGTCGAGTAAAGCTCCTCCAGAGCTACTATTTCAAGCATACTTCGTCATCGAGTGCCGCCGAAGGACTGTTCCAATGTCCAGCATACTTGGAATTCTACCGAGACCGGCGTACTTTGTAGAGGAGAAATATCGAGGCTGCACATGTGTAGACTCCGCGGTCTTAAAATCCCCACAATGCTTTGCGCACGGACCAATTTCCCCAAATCTGTGGCGAAAAATGTAAGGCGGGGCTTCTCATGTGATGCACACCTGCACACTTGCTCGCCTGTTCCACTCTTCGTTTTCCGAATGCCAGGAAGTATTCTTGCCTCGCATCTGAGGCAAGTGACTCGGAAGACATGTGCTACCAAGCAAGCATACTCGACATTGAGAAACACCCACAGAATCAGCACTTTTGAAACATGGCTGAAACAGAGGGTTATATGACATGCTACAATGATCTGTTTGGTATTTAGAGCCAAACACTTGAGAGTATAGTAGGGGACCTTGAAAGTAAAAAGGACACAAACGAGAGTGAAGCATGGGTTTGGTTCCCTTTATCACAACTTTGGTGTTTAAAGGCTGCTTTAATTTGTTGTGGATTCATATCTCCCTTGTCAGCCCGTTATATTTCTCAGAAAACGTGGTCTGTTTCGTAAGTTATCCCTCCCCCGGTGCTCCTCTGCAGGATTTCCAGGCTTCGTTTGGAGATATTTCAGGCTCTCTGCATGGGCACCGTCCCCCTTTGTGTGTCCACCCGCCTGCTAAAGGGACAGCTTGCTGCTACCTGTTGGAAATCACAGCAACAGCAGGACATTGCAGACATTGTGTACAGTTTATCAAAGCCCTGCTGATCCTCGGTTTGTTGGGCCTGTGCGACACGGATCCACACTGTTCACTTGTATAGGAACAGCATCCAAGCAACAGATCTCAGTTTAATAGGATGCTTTCTAGTTGTACATTCAGAAAAAGGAAATAAAGTGTCCATTGTGTGGATCACCTACCATAAATCAAACTATGTGTTTATTCTGTCAGTAGAGTTTGACTTCCTTGTAATAATTATATCACAATGCACACAGACCTTTACACATTATGTTATTATTTAGAGAAATAAGAGATATTGCAGGGAGGTGACATTTTTATTTCATGTTAGGATGATAATATCACATCATTTGTCTGACTACAGCCACATCACTGTCTGCTAATCTGCATGCTGTCTATGCTGAGTTTTTAAAAGTCTGATCAACAAACAAAGAAGACTTTAAACTACCTTTTTTAGAATTGAATATTTGTAATGTATTTGAAAGTATCCTTTTATGGAGATCATGTGATTCCCCTTACACAATAACTTATAACTTGATCCCATATGTGATATTTAATGAGTGGATTATGTGAAATCTTTACTATCATTAGCAAGCATCATCCTTAACAATTTTGAAAGCTGATAATAATTCTATATATATTTCTTGACACATGTTTTTCAGCTATTTCCGCGCATTATGCTGATTTCCTATATCCTTTGTTCCTAACAGAGCTGCCAGAGAACTGGACGGACACCAAGGAGACCCTGCAGGATGGGATGGTGTTCAACGTGAAGTACCTGGGGATGACTCTGGTGGGCCAGCCCAAAGGAGAGGACATGGCCTCAGCTGCCATTCGCAGAATCGTTACCACGGTGAGCCACTGGTCCCTTTTCTTAGTGTTTCATAATGGAAGTTGCATCGGCACTTGAATCTTGAATAGTTACTTTGATTTCATTGTAAGTGCTGGACGAGGTACAAATAATTGTTCTGATTGTGAAAATGAGCAAGCCACGTTGCATATAATTCTCTAGGCAAGGTCAGGACCTTCAATAGCAACGTGTAATTTCAAGAGTGACATTTTGAAGAATTCAATTACAGCCATGCTTTTTATAGAATCTCTCCTGGGCATTTGGGAAATTACAGCCTACAACTGCAGTGCTCATTTTCTGAACAATGTAAAGAGGAATACTTGTCATTTTAGTTCACGTTATTCTGATGATCTGGGAAAGTATGATACATTTAAACATTGTTGCACCGAATAAAGTTCCATATTTTCTTTGTGTATATAAAGAATAATGCATCCTATCTTGGGTACCATTACAGGCAGGTTTTAAGTAGAAGATGTGCTTCATGTCAGTAATATATCCCTCACTGCTCAGCAAATATAGTCTTATGGGCAGAAAACCAGTGTGGGCTCACTATTCAATGTGGCCTTTAATGTTTGCATGTGGGAAAAAAAGTCCAAAAAGTTCTGTAAATTATAACTGTTTATGTAATATAATCTGTTATTCCCTTGGCATGTAGTTATAGTTGGGTTCAGTTTTAAATCGAGGTCAATATTGATGCATGAAAATAGCTGTTAATCCAGGAGTTGCACATGTGCAGCGGTCACATTATTGATATGATGTTTATTATACAACACTGAGCCACACAGGGAAGGAAGTTTTATTTTTTACATCAGTTTTGAAAACTGCCTTATAACTACATTCAAACCAGTGAGTTTCTAAATGTAGACATACAAACAATATATTTACATATTCGAAACGCAAACATAACATTTCCTTCTTTAGTTTGTCCTTCACGCGCACCTTTTCTATGAGCGCTGCCAACAATAAGAAATGTCTAATCTGCTGAAAGGAAAGCCTGGCGCTGATTCATAAACCCCCCACTTCTCAATTAGAGACTGAACCGAAACCTAATGGCAGGATTAAGATTCAATTGATTTACACCAGGAGGACAGAAAAAGCAACTGAGTTGTCTCTTGTCTGTTCCCTTGGAAACCAATCAACTTGAATAGGATTACTGAATACATTTGTGACTTTTCCATTTGCTACATGCTTCAGTCTGGCATGATAACACAAGACGGAGGGACCGAACGTATAGAAGAAGCTGAATGTGACGTATCTCAAGCTGACAGATTGGTTTTTGCCTGGTGGCATGACACGAGTAACATGACAGAATATAACGTGGTTGTTAACACTTCCTACATGGATGAGCTGCCACACTCAGCCACAGCACTTGTTCCCTCTCTGATATAAAGCCAGTTTTACGTATTGTAAGGGCTGCGGGTTTCAGCAGAATGTGCTGTTCCTCATCATCATCTCCAGGGCATTTAGGCTCCTTCAGCGTTCCTGTTGTCCTTCAGAAGTCCTGGTTATTCCTTGAAGCAAAGATCCCGCTTCTTTTCATCATCCGCTTCTCCTCGGTGTCGGCCTTTATTTCACCTGCTGCAACAATGAAAGCGTTTTTCTGCAGGGAGAATGGAAAGTGATGAAATAATGTCTTTCTTTTACCCTCTGTATTCCTCCAAAGTTATCTACTGATTCTTAACCTCATCGCACTTGAGTGTGAAACTAAACTGCTCTCATTTGTCAGCTAATTGCATGCTACGGAGGTCATTGTCATAGTCAACAGGCGCTCTCTCACAGACCACCAGCTCAGCACTCTGCTCCTATTTCCTGAAACTCCAGATGGAGCAGAGCGGCAGGGGGAGTGAGCGGCTGCCAGCCCGACCTGGAGTTGCATGTAGCCCTCGTTCTGGGCTTCACGATGCGGCTTTCCTCCCCCCCCAGTTCTGTCACTTTTTATAAATTCTCCACATTTCCGGGGCAACTCGCGCAGGCTGCCTAGTTTTGCTTGGCAGCCACTGTCGCATCTCAGGGGTTTTCGGTGTTTCATCAGAAGTACGTTCATGCTATATTTATGCCAGACAGCACCCTATTGATTTTTAATGTGAGTGTTAATGTGTTTTTTTATATTTCATATCCACAGGCCAGGGCCAGTGCCAAGAAGTTTCGGAAAGTAACTTTGACCATCTCTCCGAAAGGCATCATCATGACGGACACAGAGACCACAGACCTCATAGAAAATGTCTCCATATACAGGTACATCAAACGCCCCGCTCACTTTCCGGCGAACATAATGCATTAGAGAGAAGCGGAAAATTCGTTTTTTATGTCTTAAAGCTGCCGAGTTATATATTGCACCTCAAACAACAAATACATCCCGAGTTAAGATTTCTATACTTCCTCTACAGAAAAAAGGACGGATAAAGAAACGATCTAATTCAGAAATCACAGTTTAACTATAAGCCTTCTGCCTGCCACTCGTCCACCGGCAGACCGACCGAAAGCAAAGCTGTCTGTCTGACGGCCTATTTGACACGATTTTCATATTTTTGGAGTAATTATAAAATGTCTGACCAACAGAAATATTGTTTTCTGGCATCACTTTAACATTTTACCGGGAAAATCGGCAATTTGGTATGAGGGCGCAGCGCCCCTGTTACCCGGTTTAGACAAAACCCTGATATATATTATTATAATTGAGAGTCTCTTAAAGTCCCAATGATTACATCTTTTAGTTTGTCGTTATATGAAGCCATGTGCTGGTCAGTGAAAATGCTAGGGCTACTGGCTTCAAGCAAATAAATGAAAATATCATGCAACCCATTAACAACTGCATGTAAAACTTTACATTTTCATATCTTATTACCTCCAGAGGTAAATGCCTGAAAAGCGTGGCTGAGCAATATGTCCTAAAACATCATCACTTATCAAGGGTTTATTATTCGTGCTGTGCCTAACAATGCTGTTAATCCTCCGAGTCGAATCCTAAAAACAATATTAATAATAGTGTCTTCATCTGATTCTTGAAAATACTGATATGTTCTATGTAGGTCACTTTCCTCTCTGTCCATTGCTTGGGCTCCTTTGTGTAGGAATAAACCGAGCAGGTCTCTGCTCAAAGCGATTGTGAGTTTGATCAATTCAGCAGGAAACCAATAATGGGAGGCCAGGAGGGGGTCGCCGGGGGGACGTCTCATACTGTTTCTCTGTGTCAATGAAAGCTGACCTTTTTCAGCGCCACGCTAGGTTTCCCTCTACCGAATCAGTGAAAGGAGAGAGACAGTGTGTGTCCGTGTGTGTGTGTGTGGATTGTGTCGGTTTGGCTGGTTTCCTCTCTCTGGATAGCTCCTGTAATATAGATTGGGCCTCGTGTAATTGATCCTTACCGTCTAAATATCACATGGCTGGGCTGTGATTACAGAAGAGCTCTGATAACAGAGAAGCTGGTGTGTGATGGAGGATATATTTGATCAGTGTGTGTGTATGTGTGTGTGTGTGCCCCTTCCTGATCCACCTTATCAGCGGTAACAGACCACAGGCCAGGGGAATGAGCCTCGTCTTTGATCTGCCTTTCTTCTCTCCCTCCTTTCCTTCCCCCCCTTTCATTTATCTAGTAAAGCAATCTTACCTTTCTGCTCGTATGAACGTAAATAGAGCTCTGAACGCAGGAATACCCACGACTAATTGCCCACTTTGAAACTCGTGCCGCCAATACTCCGGCGTAATAATAGAGGATAGAAGGGGCCACATGCAGAGCTCGGGTAGACTGAGGATTGATTTATCCCCTTTTTATGAAACCCCACCCCCAATTCAACCTCTTCCCCCTCCTTTCTTATGTCTTATTTTAGTTGCACATAATCCATTTATTGGCCAAGACAGCAAGTGAAGGGTGAAGGGAAGAGGAGACGTGTCAGCCTGTTTATGTGCATAACAAATAATGGAGTTAAATACAAAGTGTGTGTGTGTGTGTGTGTGTGTGTGTGTGTGTGTGTGTGTGTGTGTGTGTGTGTGTGTGTGTGTGTGTGTGTGTGTGTGTGTGTGTGTGTGTGTGTGTGCGTATGCAGAGTTAATTGTGTATTTGCACTCACTGGAAGCAGGGCTGTTTCCCTCAGGCGAAGCTTAGCGGGGGATAGAAAACAGACAAGGAGGCATCGTGCCATAACATTGGAAAAAGGATCCTCGCAGCCATGACCCCCCCCCCCC